ATCAAACACTCTACCTAGCAACAAGCAGCAAAACACACTGCTGATTACAGAATACATTTTTGTGCAGAATACACTGTGCGCACGTGGCACACTGTCAAAACAGAACACTTACTCAATGTGTGGGGGCACATAATTATAATCCCAGTACTCTAAGAGGCTGAGGCCAGAGGACTGTAAATTTGAGTACTGCCAAAACAACTTAATGACTTAGGGAGACCCTGTATGAAAAAAACGTTTTTAAATTAAAGGGGCTGGGGATGTAGCTCAGTGTGAAGGCCCAATAATGCAAAAACAAAGTAAAACAACAAAACAATCCACATCACATTCTGGGCCACAAAACAAGCCTGAATACATTTTAAAGAATTTTTGTCATACAAGGCATGTTCTCTGAGCTGAGTGTGGTAGCATACACCTGAAGTCTCAGCTACCAGGGAGGTGGGCTGGTGAATAGCTTGAGCCCAGAGGAGTTCAAGAGCAGCCTGGACAAAGCAGTCAGAGCCCAAGCCAAAAGAAAAGAAATTTTTTTTTGATCACCTGACTATATGGAATTAAATCTGAAAAGTGTAACAGAAAGCTACCTGGAAAATCTTCACAAATAACTGGAAATTAAATAGCATACTTCTGAAATACCCATGGGATCAAAGATGAAATCCTAAGTGAAATTTTAAAATAATCTGAATTGAGAGAAAATGAAAACACAACATATCAAAATTGACAGACAGGAATAAATCAGTTTTTAGGGATAGGTCTGTAGGAGTAAACACCTATATTAGGGCTCAAAATCATTGATGCTGGTTTCCACATTAAGAAATTAGAAAAAAGAGAGTTGGGGATTTAGCTCAGTGGTTCCGGCACCTGCTTTGAAAGCACACAAGGTCCTAAGTTCCATCCCTGGTACCCGCCCCCCCCAAAAAAAAAAATTAGAAAAAAGAATAACTTAAGTCCAAAACAAAACAATAAAGACTGGACAAGAAATCAGTGAAATAAAAAAGAAAAACAATAGAGCGAAATTAGTCAAGCTGGTTCTTGTGAGATCAACAAACACTTCAAGCCGGGTGTGATGGCACACACCTGAAATCCCAGCACTCAGGAGGCTGAGGCAGGAGGATCACTGGGAGTTCAGGTTAGCCTGGGCTACACAGTTCAAGGCCAGCCTGGACTACATAGCGAGACCCTGTCTCAAAAACTCAAGAAAAAAAAAACCCAAACCTTTGAAATCAATGATGTCAACAGTGTGCTCAATGATCATGTTTTTCTTGTCTCAGTCTAAATTTGAAGTTGTGTATCAAGGATACACAAGGTTGTATTTCTACTGTACATATTTCTATCTGAAAAAGAGAAGACATATTCATCCTTGGAAAACCATACAGCTCTTCTGAGCAGCAAGTTTCCCTAAAAGGAAGAGAAAGGAATTGAGTTAGGTCAGTGGTGCTGGTTGGCTCGACTGCCAAAGCTGGCTATCATCACTGCAAGCTCTAAAAGGTTCCCTGTCACTGAGTTTGGTCACCTTTAAAAATTCTCTACGGGGGCCGGGGATCTAGCTCAGTGGTTTCACCGCGTGCTTTGCAAGCGGAAGGACCCGAGTTCGATCCCCGGTACCAAAAAAAAAAAGAAAGTAAAAATTCTCTACGGTTTTTTTTTTTTGTGTGTGTGTGGTACCAGGGATCAAACTCAGGACCTTGTGCGTGCAAGGACTCTAAGTTCTAAATTAATGTTGTAAATGGTAAAGAAGAGATACATGTTTACCATTAATAGTTCAAAATGACCTGAGTAACAGGTATTTTGGTAAAAACCTGGAAATGTTCCTTAAAAATAACCATACTGCAGCCAGGGATTTAGCTCTGGCACCATGCCTGCCTTGCAACTGCAAGGACCTGAGTTTGATCCCCGGTCCCCCCGCAAAAAAACCCCCAAAAAACCATACTGACTAAAGGGGAAAAGTTGTTCAATTAGCATTTTCAAGTAACAGCTTTGGAGAAGAAAAACCAAAGGGGAATTTAAGTCTAATTGAAAACCAAGGATCAATATTATTAACTGTTTAATCTTCACTTCTCTGCATCACCTCTAATAAGACGGTCCTCATATTTGTCCCAAAAGGGTGGTGGTGGTGGTGCATGTGTATAGTAACAAAATTAAGAAGTTAGAAAAAAAAAAAAAGTTAAAGACTACAATAGAATGAAGGCCTCTTGATGACAATTAGATCAAATGACTGAGACCCTACTGTGGGTCTGACAGATCTATGAATTTCTGCTACTGCCTTTTGGAAGAAAACATTTTAAAGACACAGAACTGAAATCTGCCTTGCGTGTCCAGATTAGGGTAACCAAGCAGACTAGTTATTCATTGCCCAGTAGTTAGCCTTAAAAACATAGGCTCTGGAGCCAAATCACTTGGGTTATGCTAGTTACTGGCCTTAACACCCTAGGCAAACTACAGTACTTAACTTTAAGGGGTTACTATTCGGATTAAATTTATATATACCTATGAAGATATAACTATGATGCTCTTTTCCTTCTAGTTTTTAATAAGGAACACCAGAAACTAAGATAATTCTGTAAAACTTATTAAAATTGCACTTCCAACAAAATTCACATTTCCCTTAATTTAAAATCCTCTTAGGACCAGGAATTTTAGCTCATTGGTGCTGCACCTGGCTCACAAGCGCAAGGTCCTGAGTTCAACTCCTGGTACCAGAAAAAAAAAAAATCTTCTTAAAAAGCTATGTATCTATATATTTCAGTGGGATGGTCAATACTTATAAAATCATAAATATACATGAGTTCAAAAGATTCTAGAGAGAATCTGGGAGGTCTACAGTGTTACTAGATTATATAAAGTTGAGCATAATGGTGTATTCAATCATTAAAATACTTTCAGTTACAGGCCAGGGATTTAGCTCAGTGGCACAAGGTCCTGAGTTCAATTTCCAGGACCAAAAAACCCCACTTTCAGTTAAAATCAGATAATATGGAAATATAGCTTTTATGAATATTTTAAAATTGCCAAACACTAGACTTTAATTGTTGCAGAATGTTTTAACTTAATAAAAATCCTAGGATATGATCGCTAAATGATGCACCTAAAGCCTCAGTAAGTGCCAGGAGCTGCACACTTTAACTCCTCACCCCATTATAGATCAAAAGACTACAGTTCCAATGAGTGTGGCTCACTAAAAGTGACACAGAAGAGTGGAAAGATGTGTTTTAATAATCAAGTGACCTAACCAAGGGACCGATGGTTCAGCCTCACTTCCCGTGTCTGTAGACAACTGTGCTGAGATAATGGGAGAATTCAACAGAGGAAAGGAAATATCCTGCCTACCCCTACTAGCATAGGATACTCAACTCATGTCCATTTCCCTTTATTTAAAGGGATAGAAGAAATCAAGAACAGTTTAAAACTTTTCACAGCATTGTTTGATATCACCTTGTTGATACTCTTTAACAAAAAAAAATCTACTGGTTAAGCTGTACAATCTGAACATAAAACATATTTTTAACGTTCCTTCAGAAGCTTTACATCAAAAACACTGAGAATCAGAATAGGGTAGAAACCATTTCTGACAGAAATAACTTTTGGAATAAATGCCCACTTGAGAGTAAATAAGAGAGGTGTTATAATAAATTGATGAGAATCTGTGATCTATCACTTTCCACAAATAGCCTCAAGAAATATCTAAATCTCGCCAGTTCTAATCAATTCAAACACCATATTCAGCAAACATTTTGATATACAAAAGAATGAAAAATTTTTTTTGAGATAGGGTCTCACCAATGTCAGCTGGCCTCAAACCTCCCAAAGTGCTGGGATTACAGGTATGCACCACCACATCCAGCTTTACTTGGCTTAGAACTTTTAATTTAGAGGAAAACTATCCTCAACTTGCCGGTGGGCCCAGAATAAATTAATCATGAACGTTTCCGAAAAATAATAAAGTTAATTTAAGTATAATTAGTCTTGTCGGGTGCAGTGGCCCATGCCTGTAATCCCACCACTCTGGAAGATGAGGCAGAAGCCCGGGCTGGACAATTGACTGATTTAGCAAGATCTCCTAAAGGAAGTTTTTTGAAAGCGGTGGTACTGGGAATGTAGTTCAGTGAGAAGGTTTAATCCCCAGCACAGGCAAAAACAAAACAAAAAACAAACAAAAAAGGTAGCAAATTTATAATTTAAAAGCCTAGCCCGAGGAGGCCAGTCTAAGTGTGAAATACATACTCAAAGCCTATAAACAATTCACCTAAGATCGAGCAATTCTGGAGCACCTGTTCGCTGTCACACACATAAGCCTGGCCCGGTGGTGCACTTAGTCCCAGGCCTTGGGAGACTGAGGCAGGAAGATCGCTGGGTGTTGCGGGCCAGCCTGAGCTACACAGTGAGTTCAAGGCCAGCCTGAACTTACCGAGACCCTGTGTTAAAAAAAGCAAAAACAAAAACAAAAAAAATCACACACACAGTAACAGCCCGAGGACAACCAATTTCCTTCAATCTTAAAGAGAGCCTGTCCAAACCAGCATATTAAATCCTTGAAGTGTACTGCAATGCCAGTCTTTTATTCCAGGGAATCAGGGGAACAGGTCGTTAAATTATTAAATGACCAGAAATGGAAGGCGCACACATAAAACGACTCCAAAACTGAAGGTCTACCCAAACACTTCCATCACAAACAGCCCAGAAAAGAGGACTCGTTCTAGGTGTCGTCCTCCCCTTCCGTCTTCAAAACACTTTGTAGAAGTCCCAAGACGCAGACTGAGAATAGATGATCTTTAAAATGGGCCAGTAACACCGGGGTCCGAGGCCGACCCTTCGGGGGCCGCGAAGACCACTTTCCCCGAATCGCGAAGCCCGGATGCCCCAGGGCGCCGCACGCCCCAAGCGCCCGGCCCCGCCGAGCCGCCGTCGCGCGCGGACGCCCTCGCCGAAGCGGCCGCAGGAAGCGCGGTCGCAAGGGCGGCCTGCCGGACCCGCCGCGGCCTCGCGCTCGCTCCCGGCCCGGTACTCACACACGCACAGCTCCACGACGTACGCATAGTAGGACCAAGCCACTACGAAGGCGATGAAGAGCACCGGCACCCAGCCCACCACGCGCTGGCAGCAGCGCCACAGCGTCCAGGGCGCCATGTTCCGCGGGCGACGGCTGAGTCCCGGGCCCCACGGCTCAGGATAGCGCCAGGCCCCCGGCGGCGACGCGGGCGCTCCCGGAGGCTCCTTGCTCGGCTCCTCCGCGTCCGAGGAAAAGCTGCTTGGGGCGAAGGTCTGCGGCTTCTCGGCGGCTCCGCCTCTCTCGGCGCCCAGCCCGATCCAGCGCCCTTCCCACATCCCGCCCCCCTCTCCCCGCGCCTTCCCCGCCGCAGCCGGCCCTCGCCGCACCTCGCCGTCGGAGGCGGGGCTTTCCGCGGCGGAGGGCGGGGCTCCTGCGGCGGAGGGGCGGGCCTGGCCGGGCTGGGATTGAGGTCGGGGTGTGGCCAGGTTGGACGCTGGCGGGCGGGGGAAGATGGGGAGAGAAGGGAGAGGGCGGGTGAGGTCTGGGGAACCCGCTGGGCCAAACGTCCGCTGGAGGAGAGGGCCGGGGTGGCGTTTGTAGATGGTTGCTCAAGGGGGAGAGGGAGACTCCTGGAAATCAGTGCTGCTGGCTCAGTGAGCAGCATTCGCTCCCTCGGGGTGAGCAGGCTCCTGACTCCTGGGGCGCTCTTTCAAATGTGGCCAGGCCGTGCCCCTCCCCAGCGTGAGGGCTTATGACGTGTACTGTTGTTAGGCTCCTCCTGTGAGTCTCGGGGCATTTCTGGAGTTTCTACCCCTGCCTCTTATTTTAGGTTAACAGGTAAGTAAGTGCCTGTGATTTTGGATGAAAGGTATGTAGATTTCACGTGTGATTTAAGAGACGACTCTTAAGGTTGAGTTGTGGGAAGGGGAGCTTGTAAATGGCTCTTTCCCTTCGCCCTTCCCCCCAAACGGCTGCTGAAATTTCAAGAATTTATTTACAGCTGAAGATTGCTAAGCAATAACTGTAATCACAGTGGAACCTAGAAGCATCACTGTGAAGACATCATAATACAAGGTCAAAGGGATTAAAAATAATTCCAGACAGCATTCCTTCACACCGAGCTATATCCCCACCCCTTTTTTGTTTTGAGACAGGGTCTGGCTAAATTGTCCAGCTTGAGGTCAAATTTATGGTCCTCCTGCCTCAGCCTTCCAGAGTGCTGGGATTACAGGCATGCACCACAATACCCAGCTCAGACAGCATTCTTATTACCAGTTCCTGCTACTACAGAGTTAGACTGAAATTTTAATTAGTTATTGCTCACTCAAGTATCCAGAAGAGTCCCCTTTTTATACTGTGATATAGTGGTAGGAAAAGCAAATAATATTTAGCCATCGTATGCTACTGGTTGAAGTAATAGAGCCTGTGTAAAACATACTGTTCTCCCCAATTTTACACCTTAAAAATCTTGGTGGCAGAGTTGACCCTCAGTTCTGAGCGTGTTTTCCAGAGAGACTGATTAGAAAGTTTAGGGATCAAGATGGAATTTAGATTGTTATGGAAGAACGTATAACCCTTTTCCTTCATGTATCAGAATTGCGTTCCTAAAGCTCAACACAAATGCTATGTCCTCTACAAGGTCCGTGTCATCTGGACATAATTTCTGTTTGCTACACCATTTGTTATTGACAGTAGCTATAAAGTGAGTTATAACATTAATTTCCTAGGGCTGCTATACCAGAGTACCACAGACTAGGGACTTAAAACACCAGAAATGTATTGTCTCGTGATTCTGGAAGCCAGAAGTCCTAAATCAGGATGTTGGAAAGCTCGTGCTCCCTTTGAAACCTGTAGGGAGAAGTCTTCCTTGCTCCTTGCTTGCTTTTCTTGGTGGCCATCAGTCTGTGGCTTTCAGCTGCATCACTCCAATCTCTGCCTCCACTGTCACCTGGCATTCTTTTCTGTGTCCGTCTCTGTTCATCTTCTCATACTGGATTAAGAGTCTGCCCTACTCCAGTCTGACCTCATGTTTGCTAGTTAACATCCATCATGACCCTCTTTCTAAATAAGGGCACATTCTGAATTAGTAGGTTGTAATAGTGTATCTTTTGTGTGGACACCACACAGTGAATATAGTGTTGATTCTAATTGAAATGAGTCACCTTGCCTACCACCTTGTAAGGTTCTTGAAGGTAGAAAGTATTTCTTAGACACCCTGTTTTCCCCGACTAGGCAGTGAAGGTAGGGAATATTTAGCAAGTAATTTTTGAATGGATATTTGAAGGTTCCAGCTGTTCTTCCTATCAAGCCCCAACCAGATCACAGTAATTCCTGATTTCTAAATGACTGTTACATGTGCAAATAATGTGTTGACTTTCTAGAAAACATTTCTGATCTCTTTCCTTGTCCTGAAGTCATTCTAGTGAAAGCACATGTTATGGCTTGTATCTAGATGTCCCCCTAAAGCCTCATGCACTCATAGGTGGGGCCTTTCAGAGCTGGCTGGATCTAGGGTGTGATTCTGGGATTAAGGGTGCCTCACTCTGGATGTGGGTGGCACCACCCAAAGGACAGAAAGAAGGCATTTGTTGCTCGATGCTTGCTGCCTCCTCCCTACCCTGCCATGACTGTTTCTCTTCTGCAATGTCCCTCTGCCATGCTGCCTGGCCTTAGAGTCGGCTGACTATAAACTGAAATCTCTACAAACTGGGAGCCAAAATAAACCTTTCCTCCCTTAACTTGCGGTTGTCAGGTATTTTGTCCCAGCGAAGAGAATAGAACTAAGGCAACACGTTTTTGAGGAGGTAGTAACATTTCATTGTTTTGAGAATGTTTCTTCAGTTCCTGAGACAAAGAGTTAATGTTGTTTTGACTAAAAGCAATAGGAGCCAGTATCCTAAACCCCTTCCTTCCTTTCCTTTTCCATGTTGGGTCAGTGATTTCCCTTCATCTTTTAAAATGATTGTGACAACAGGGAATCCCTTAAAGACTGTATTCAGGGTCAGGATGTGAGCAGAATTACATCTTATGACAGTCATGGTGATCATGGCTGGCCATAACATTCTGGCCATCCTAGGAAGAATGAATTAGGAGAAAGAAAGTCTAGAGGCACACATTTTTCTGTTCCCTTTGTTGGAGGATGGGGACCATAGTGGTTGGGGATGAGGGTTGAACTCCTTTGTCTTTTTGGGTTTCCATTTTCATTTACCACTGATACTTTTGGGAAGTTGGTTTAGCAGAGCTGTTCTGAAGTTCTAAGCAGCTTTCTTATCACCTTCTCTTGCCAACACCCAAGTTTAGGCCACTATGAACTTGCACCTGAATGACAAATACGGTCTGTCCCCCATCCCTGACCAGTATGTTCCCCCTATCCCAACAAAGGAAACAGAAAAAAGGGGCTGATTGATCTGTAGGATCATGACTTTTAATGAAACTAGAAGAGTGCAGGAGTGAACCAAGCTGCCAGCTGGCCTGGTAACTGATTTCTGGCTTCCCCTACTATAATCACCAGTCAGGAACCTCTACTATTTTAAATTCTAGTTCTGGACTGAGGACCAGAGAGGACGGATCTCAAATAGAGGCAGCTATGAAGCCTTAAGGGCTATGGAAATCACATAGATACAGTTATGCAAAGAATGACAAAATAGAAAGTTTTAAAAATTAAACCATAATTTCAAAGCACACGAAGAAATCTTATACTAAGAAGGGATCCAAATAAACATCAATAATCAGAATTTGAATTCATATAAAATAAAATATGGGAAGCAGTCTGACAGATTTTTAAAACAATTTGGCATGCGTGCCCAAAGAGGTAAGTAGAAGGAATAAATTCCATCTAAAAAGAACATGAAATTTTGAAACTAGTAGAAAGAAATGGAAAAACAAGGAATTTGAAAACCATTCAGAAGTCTTTATAATAGATGAGGGTGTAGCTCAGTGGTAGAGTGCTTGTTTTATCTGGGGCATCACACACACAAAATTCTTCAAAATAAAAAGTGTTGTTAAATTAAAAATTAGACAAATTCTAGTCTGGGCACTGCAGAAGAGGAAGAACTTAGCTCCTCGGCCCACACAGTAACTTCCTCTGCAGTGAGGATGGCTTTTACCACAGGGTTTGACTATCTCAACCCATTAAAGTGTGGCAAGTGGCTGAAACTTAGGAATAAACCAAAATCATGAGGGCTGGGGGTGTGGGTCTGTGGTAGAGTCCTTGCCTAGCATGCAAAAAACCCCAAAACCATGTTTCCCTATTTCTACTGATGGGGTTCAGGACCCTGCAGTATGGCACCTCTGCAGCTAAGAAAACAGCAGAAAGAAAAAGGTTTTTCTGACCTCTCACCCGCTTCCTGGAAACAGGCCATCAAAGAATTCTCTGGGGGCTGATGGTGATATATCAGTAGTAAGGGGAAGTAGCCCTTGCCTGGCATACATGAAGCCTGGGATAAGAAGGAAAAGGCTTCCACTAAGGTTTTTTATTCTGTTTATGCATCAGGTAATCTGCAGAAGCCTGCAGTGCTAGTAGATCAGGATGCCCTAGATGACTGCAGTTTCCTGCTTCACGTTGCCCACAGGACTAGAGAAGAAGCTGGGAAACACACCCGAAAGCAGAGGCGTTGCTGGTGGCCAGGGATCTTTTTTCCTCCCTCATTTAACCTTTCTTGTCCACCCATCAAAGCTTCCCGCCCACACTCCCCACTGTGACACTCCCCACTGTGACACTCCTCCAGTGTGCGCCATTCGTTCCTCCAGCCCCTCCACAACAGTTTAATCACCTGCACTGGGGAACAGGGCCAGTGGCTAGCTGTGTTCTGTCTTGTTTTCTGTTCTCCTCCAGACCACAGTTAGAGTGAATCTTTAGAAAATCCAGTCTGCTGAACACCCCGAGATTTATCATCACTTCAAAGAGCCTGCGGGCTTGCTGCCTTCCTACTCGCAGTCCTCCTCCTCTCCCGCCTTCAGCGCTGGCTTTGTCCGGAATTCCCTGGAATCTCTCCTCTCCCACCATGACTTTGCTGAATGTAAAAGTAATATCCTTACTTCCTGTTGTTTACACAGCTAAAATACTAGGTGTGCTAGTAAAGGTGGGTCCCAGCATATGCTGGTTTAGTTTTCCTTTTCTTTTTAAATCTTTTTATTTTGAAAGTTTAGATTTATCAAAGAACTAGAAAAATAGTGCAGAGTTTCTGTAGCGCCTCCCCCCACCCCCAAATATCATCTTACTTAGCCATGATGTATTTATCAAAATTAAGAAATTAACCTGAGTACACTATTAAACTAAACTTCAGGCTCCAAATGAGATTTCACCAGTTTCCCCACAATGTCCTTTTTCCTCTTCCAGGATCTCACATTGTGTTTAGCTGTCAGGTTTTTTCGGTCTCCTGTTGGTAGGTAGCTGCTGTTTTTTAGCCTTCCCCTGTTTTGCATGGAAAAACACTTTCGAAAAGTACTGGTCAAAGGCACAGAAAGACAAATACTGTGTGTTAACCTCCATCACTAGGCCAAGTGCAGTCTCTACCTGAAATCTCAGTTTCCCCTTTCTTCACTTTGATCACTTGGTTAAGATCCAGTCTCCACCATGATGGTACAAACTTTCCCTACATCATTCATTAGGAAAAAGTCCTTAAGTCCAGCCACACTGAAAGGAAGAGAAATTGAATTCCATCCCCTAGGAGAAATCTGTTCAACCTTTTCAGTTTAGGGGTGCCTCTGACTGCCTCACAAGCAGAAGGTCCTGAGTTTGATCCCTGGTACAAAAAAAAAAAAAAGGAAGAGGAACTTTGAGACACTGCGAGCATTGTTTCTCTGTAAAATTTCTTCTATGACTTTGAATGTGCTTCAGTGGACCTTGACTGCAGCGAGTTTCTTTTATTGTCTCTTTTATTTTTTCTTGTTTTGCTGCATGGCTTTCTAATGGTCTGTTTCCTCCTTGGTGGAAGGCAGCCCAAATGGGAGTTCAGAGATTTGTCAGGCTTACTGCTTGATACCTGAATTTCTGGTTTGGTTAAGTTTATCGCGTCTGCATTTCTGGAAGTATGTTTTCCAGAATGCCTCCTAGCCACTGTTCATTGATTAGTCCACTCACGTGTTACTGTTTGCTTTTAGACTACAGGGACAGTCTGGACTCAGCGGCACCAGCGGCCATGTTGAATGATGTCACAAGTCATATGGGAGGCAAGGAAGTCAATGACCAGAGGGGAGCATGTGTTTGGGAAACACTGAGTTGTCCTAGCTCCATTGCTGTGACATCTTTGTAAGATCACTTTGAACTGAGAACTGACAAGTTCCTGGTAAACCAAGGCAGAGCGGAAATGCCACCCCACACGTTGGGAGGGGCAGATGTGGAATGAGAAATTGTCGGGGAGGGGGAGACCTGCATTTGGAAGAGTTCTTGCGGTCACCTATGCTGTTTTGCCAAATCCCTGTATGATCTCCCTAGGTGCTTCTGTGTATGGTTATTCATTAAAAATAGTCAGTTTCCATAGACCATAAGCTTTTTATTTTATCTTTATTGTTTTGTTTTGTGAGATGGGATCTCACTATGTAGTTCAGGCTGGCCTTGAACTCACTATGTAGCTCAGGCTAGCCTCAAACTCTCAGTGATCTTCCTGCCTCAGTCTGCTGGGTGCTGGGATTACAGGTGTGTCAACCATAAGCTTTTTAAAGAAAAGACTAGTTACATGGTAAGCCTGGCATATGGAAGGTACTACCTAATAGTAATTGAATCAATGAATGACAAGTATGTTGGAATTAGGGATGGCCATGCTTTCTGCACAGGTTTCAAACTTCCCATAATCTCAGTTATGGAAGCAGTCTTAAATATGGTTGGTTATATTCTCTAGCATTTTCTTTTTTTTGGGGTACTGGGGATCGAACTCGCATCCTTGCACTTGCAAGGCAGGCAGCAGAACCACTGAGCTAAATCCCTGGCCCTCTCTAGCTATTATTGCAATATTGCCATGTTGTATTTACAATGTAAGGCAAAAAAGATGTGTGGATGAGTAGGGATTGGATTATGCTGTACGACAATTTTTGTTTTGTTTTGCAGTGCTGGGGATAGAATCTAGGGCCTCCTGCCATACCACCAAGCCACAACCCAGCCCTAGGACACAGTTGGGGATATACTAACTTTGGAGTCTGTACCAGTTTGTATTCAGTTGCTATAATGAAATACATGGAACTGGGTAACTTGTAAAGCAAAGAGGTGTCGAGGCTGGGAATGCAGCTTAGTGGCAGGGCATTTGCTGAACATGTGTAAGGCCCTGTGTTTGACCCCAAGCACCACACCCACAATTAAAGAGGATTATTTAGCTCACAGGTTTAGAGGCTGAAAGCTCGAGATTGGGTGGATGGCATCAAGGCAGGAGTGCAAATGAGACAATGTGGCTACTTGGCCAGCCAGGAAGCCAGAGAATGCCTTAGGAGCCAGGTGCACTCTCTTACATACACCTCGGTCTAGTGAGAACTCAGTGTCCTGAAGACTTCCTTAGTTCTTCCTGGGGCTGTGTACCAGTGAGCTGGCCAATTTCGCTAGGGCCCACCACCTCCCGACATCTCACACTGGGATCAAACTTCCAACACATGTATGTTGGTGGGGGACCAACCGGTCCAGTCATAAGGTGTGAACAACCTTAAGGGCCTAGTGGAAAAAAATACAGATGATGGAGTCAGGGCTGATTGGGTTCAAATTCCAGGTTCATTGCTTATCAGCTACATAATATTATAGACTCAGGTTTCCTATAGAAGAGGAATAATGGTATCTTCCTCATAGTATTTGTTGTGAGGATTAAGGTGCAATTTTATGTATGGTATATGGATGCAAATATAGTACATGTAAGAAATATATATATATTTACAGATGTATAGTTTTCTATGCATACATGTATATATTCTAATATTTTCTAATACTGATACAGGAGAAATATAATTCCCAACCTGTTAGATGACAAATGTACTGAGTTCATGTCCCCCAAAGAATGAATTCCAAGGGACAGTGGATCTTAAGAGTGGGAAAAGTTTATTAAGAGAAAGGTCCTGAGAGATACAGGAGGGGTCCCAAAAAGGTAGCCACCAAGGCCCTTACACGGGGTAATTTGTACTGCAAGTCACAACATGGGTTCACTGTGGGTCAGACTACGATCAACCCACATGATTACAACAAGTATGGCCACTTAGCTAATGCAGACATTCCTCCTCTACCAACCGAGTTCCACTCCTGCAACTAGGTCATTAAATGAACTGGTCACTAAATGAGTAATTGTATATAGTATGTACATTACAATATTCAGGACAAAGAAATGGTCAAAGGGAACTCTAACTTGATGACTTTGCCTTTATGTATGTAACTCCTACATGCAGTACGGTAGTGTATAACAGAACATAAAACTACAGTACTGTATGTACAGTACAATCAGAAAAAATTACACTACTGTGTAAATGAAGTGTACTGTGCAAAAAAGACATTGAGGCTCTATAAATAAGATGTACAAAACTGTACAAATATAAAAGGTCATGAGTCCAAGTGGCAGGTCCTAAGTCCAAGCAGCAAGCCTCCTAAGTCCGAACAGCTGTCAAACAGGTAGGTCATTAAATGGGAAATATCTGTATTAAACCACTAGAGAAATGAGTCACATAGCAGGAGTACATGAAAAACACAAAGGCATTTTTTTAAAGGGATGGGTCCAAAAGCTTTGGTCGCCCACCTAGGCGTCTGATACTTGTCTGGACTTACTGGGGCAGGGGGTACTCTTTACAGCATAATCTCAAGATGCTGTTTATATTTTAGGGAGGCCTGTAGGCCTGGCCATTTTATCTCCAGCTTGCTTCTACAGCAACAAGCCTGATGTCTTTATTTGTTGTGCTGACTTCCTTGAGGGCCCAATCCCTCTCTGACTGTACAGTATATTAATTTCTATTTAACTTAGCTGCCTGTAATAATATGGATATGTGTGTACATCTACCCATCTATCTATGTAACCCACATGTATCTATATTTCCAGGCACATGGTCATTGAGGCAGTCAATCTACATTAAGTATTTGAACAGAGAAAATGTAATAGAAAGAGTGGTTAAATAGGTATAGGGGAACTTAAAAATCAAAGAGGGCGCTGGGGTGGTGCAGAGAAAGCCCTTGCAGGAAGCAGCTACCAATCAGTGCTAGGGCTGGCGCAGAGGGATGAGGCTGGGCTTTGGAGTCTACAGTCTTGGTGGGGGTTGCTGCAGGCTGGTGGAGAGCCTGGGCTGGGGGGAAGGAAGGGCTCACAATGAGGCTGTTTCTGGGAGGGAAAAAAACAAAGAGCTGGAGGCTGGTACCAAGGGCCGCAGGGATGAAAGCCATGCCTGGACACAAACCCCGCTGACCCTACTGGACACAACAAGGCAGGGCTCCCCCTCTGGATGGCAGCTTCTCTCTACGACCCTGTAGGGCAAAGGGGAGCTGGGCTGTGTGGGTCTCTGTCCAGAGGTCACCAAGCCCAAGGTGTGCGAAAGGGGCTTGAATGGAGGGGCAGTAGTTTAGTTAGACAGCAACTCTGTGTAACTTAATTATTCTTTCTCCATTCACACAGCTATCTACATCCCATTGTACAGTTACAGTACAATGTAGTTATCCATGTTCATGGTGTTGGACACTCATGCTATTTCTAAATTTTATTATTTGAAATGATCATTCCTTTAGTCCTCTTCAGATAAAATTTTTAATGGGGAGAGCTCATACAACATTCTGCAAAGCATAAGAGTTATTAATGTGCTTTTAGAAGGTTTTATTTTCTAGGAGTTATTAAAATTTTTCCCCCAATATCGAATACTTCCAAATATGATGTAAATCCAGATGTTACTAGCAAAATATTGTCTCCCATTTCATCTTCTTGGAAAGATAACTTTCCTAGAATGAAAACTAGCCCTAGCAGAGTGCATAGACAGAGTAGGTTTCAGTAAGGCATTGGTATTGATGATGCTGAAGAAATAACCTCACCTATAAAAAGGTGTTGCTTGAGGCCCCAATGTTTAATTTTCTTCCTCACCCAAAGTAACCAAACATGAATGACTCGTGCTAATGGGAAATGTGGTAAAGCATTGTGCTCATTTATTTAAAAGCTGGCTAATATTTAACTAAGACATGATAGTCGAAAGTGCCCCACAATATTTCCTTTCAAGTAGTCCTTGACATATTCTGTAATTTACTGTATATCTTTCTTACTGTATGCTTGATTTTCCTATTAAGGATCACGCTCAATGCCCAAGCAAAATAAATTTTTGGAAGAGCAAGAGTGCCATCTTGCGGAGCTTTGGTATTGGCTGCTTTTAAATCTGCTGTAACACTACTGCGGAGTGGTTTGTAAGATCCTTTTATCTTTCTCCTTGCATTTTATCCATTTGTCTCAGTTATTCAGTGGCATCAAGTTGTTATTAGTGTCAGTTTGGATCCTGACTTTTGAGGATGTGCGATTTCTACTAAATAAAACTCAGAACCTCACCTGTCCTATGCTGCCCTTGTCTATAGATCTGTGCGCTTGTTTGCATCAAAAGGCCTGTGCATTTGACTTTGTAAGTACAAAGGAAGTCCTCAAGAAATATCAGGGAAATTTCTTCACAGTAAAGTTCCGATTTAGAGTTAAATATCTGCTGCTTAAGAGGCAGTGTGGGAGGATGTGGGATCGATTACAGAGTGGGAAGTCCTCCTTTTCAGTGTGGAACATTTCTCTTTACCTGTCCAGAGCTCAGCACGTGCATTGGTTGATGTTGGATCTTTATTACTTTAGGATGAATTTGGCAGGGAAGTTGAAGACTGGAGAAGTCCTCAAGGCACTGCCAGCACTGCAGCATAAGCCCTGCAGTTTTTCTTTTCCTCTTGACTCCCTGCTTATGCATCACATTGGCAGAGGTGATAGGCAGCAGGAATGGGGGGTACTTATGGGCTCAGAAAAAGAAACCCTAGAATTCAAAGGCTGGAAGCAGAGGATCTTGCCGGCTCCTCTCTGCTCACACAAATCCCTAGACTCACAATAATGAACATCTAAAACATGCCCAAGGAGGAGAAAGAATAAAGTATATAAATCAAATTAAAATCTTTTCCATAGCTGTGTTTATCAGGTTCCCTTGACTATAACAAAATAATTGAGGCAATAAACTGAAAAGAAGGAAGGTTTTATTTGGGCTCATGGTTTTGGAGATTTCAGTCTCTGGTTGCTTGGCCCTATTGCTTTGGGCCTGCAGTGAGGCAGAACATCACACTGGGAGAGCGTGGTAGAGGAAACTGCCCACTTCATGGGAGCCAGGAAGTAATGAGAGAAGTGGGGGTGGGGGGAATGGGAGGAGGAGGAAGAAGAGGAGGAAGAAGAGAGAGAAAGAGGAAAGAAGAGAAGAGAGAGGAGCTGAGGTTCCAGCACTGCTTCCAGGGCACACCTCCAGCCACCTATTTATTGTCTTCCCACTAGGCTCTGCCTCCTGAGGGTTCTACCACCTTCCAGTAGCAAGACATCTAGGGACCAACATGTAGGCCTCTGAGGGACATTCTAGATCCAAATTATAGCAATAGCTCTTAATTTATCACAACTTTCACATATTATCGATGAAAAACGTTAGGTATAAACACTTTTTGGAGTAACTTGCTCAGTGGTGTCCTTTTTTGGTCAGGCAACCAACTTGTGAATCAAAGCTTTTTTTCCTCTGTCTCCTTTTTCTTTTGTGGATATATGTGCACCCATGTTCATAGCAGCACAATTTGTAATAGCTAAAACTTGGAAACAGCCCGACTGGAGACTGGATAAATGTGGTCTTTTTTATAAGATGGAGTACTACTCAGCCATAAAAAATGAGAAATTAGAGACATTTATAGCTAAATGGATGCACATTGAAGTGATACTCTTAAGTGAAATAAATAGGACACACGTGTAAATACTGAATAGTTTCTCTAGTGTGAGACACTGAAAGTGTAAATAAGGACTAAAAGGTATAAAAGATAATGTGAAATAGGAAGAAAAGGGGCAAAGGGGAAGTAGGAGGGGTAGGGGAAAGGATAGAAGGGAATGGAATTAATATGAGAAAATGAAAAAATGGAAACAGTCTTTGCAAATAGGGAGGGATGGAGGGGTTGAAGGGAGGGCAGGGGAAGGGGGAAAAATAAGAACCAAGAGATTATGTAAAGGTGCAAATTGATGATGAATGTCATTATATTGTATCCCTAAAATTACCAATAAAATTAATTTTACAAAGAAGATCTCCTGGTCTCTAGCATTACAGTCACTTTGTAATTATACACCCTTACAATGCTTTTGAGTTAGTTTTCAGTCTTCACCTTCAGAGTATTGGTCCCAGGACAGCAGAGGCCATTTGCAACTCACCACTATACATTCAGTACCTAGCAGGGTTTTGGTTTATTTTTTTTCTTCTTTTCTGTGCTGGAGTTCAAATCCCAGGCCATGAGCATACTAGGCAAGTGCTATACCACCAAGTAACACCACTAGTCCCTGGCATACTTCTTTTTTGTCCTGGGGGTTGAACCCAGGACCTTAGCACTGCTATTTCCCAGCCCTTAAAAACATTTTTTTTTTTTTAAAGCTGGGTCTTGTTAAAGCACAAAGTTGCCCAGGCTAGGTTCAAACTTGCAATCTTCCTGCCTCAGCTTCCCAGAGTGCTGACATTACAGGCATGCACCACCATGCTGACCCTACCTTCCTTCCTTGTTTTCCTTCACTCCAACCTTTTCCAGTTCCCTTTGCTAGATGCGTATGATAAGCAGGTATTCAGCCAGACTGGCAAAAAGAGATGCTCTGCTCGAGTTTAGTGGAAAAACCTTCATATGCGGACAGCACCTTGCTTTCTGGAATGTCATCAAGAGGACAGGGGAGGGCTGGTGGTAAAGGCCGGGGGTAGGAGTTTGAGAAACTGTGGTGTGGTGAGAGTCAGGGTTTCATGTCTGTGGGGCCTGGTACTTACGGCTCATTGTGGGAAGCAGGGCAGTAAAAGTCAGTGGCAGGGAGAAGGCCAAGGGGTGGAGACTGAAGACACAGGAGCCCTGCTGACATCTAACTTTATACCCCCAGTCTTTATCCTGAGGTCATCTGGGAGGACAGCTGGGACGAGATTATTTTCATGGCTAACAGGATTCAGATGCATACATTTTGGTCTTTTTTCTTAGTTGGGTTTTACTAGAGGGATAAAAACAAATTAGTTATTTCATAGGTAATTATTTCTAAAACAGTGAGTTAAAACTTGTTTTTAGTCGGGCATAGAGGCACACACCTGTGATCCCAGCACTCAGGAGGCTGAGTCAGGAGGATTGTGGAGAGTTCAAGACCACCCTATAGTGAGACCTGACCTCAAAAAACCAAGAGAAAAAAAATTTTTTAATCAACAAAATACTTTTATAATATTGGGCAAAGTTTTGCTACTTACTTGTCCATCTCAAATATTAAACTATAAGGGAGAACGTTAGCAATTTAGCAGATTAACATATTTCAGGGCCTTATTATCCTTTAACAACTATAAGGGGTGTTTCTCTTGTCCCATTAATTAATTTTCATTGTAAGCTTATGGATTATTTTATCCAATCTGCTATTTTTTTTTTTTTTTTTACAGTATTAGGGACTGAACCCAGGGCCATATGCATGCTAGGTAAGTGCTCTACCACTGATGTATGGCCCAAGCCTTTTTAGGGTTTGAGATGGGGTCTTGGTAAGTTGCCCAGGCTGGGCTCCAACTTGTGATCCTCCTTGTTTCAGCCTCCTGAGTAGCCAGGATCACAGGTGTATGCCACTGTGCCTGACTACAGTGGCACCTCAGTTCATGAACTCAGTTCTCTCCATGATTCTGGTCACAAACTGAACTGGACAAGAACTCAATCAAATTTCCCCATAAGATCAACATTGAACCTAACCAATGAATTTGATTTGGTCCTTGACCAACTTGGTTTGTGATCAGAATTGTGGAGAGAATCAAGTTAGTGAACTTAAGTACCATTGTACATTATTTTGATGTTCAACCTGTACCAGCTTTGGCCAGGGGAGCCCCTTTTTGTTGGCTTTGTCTGCTTGATTCCCCATGATTCCATGATCCCTTTCTGAGTTTTAGGAACAAGATGTTTCAGGCTAATCTTAAACTTTTGCTAGCCCTGGAATCAGCTAGTTCTCTGTAGAGTGGCACTGGTTTTTAAATTTCTTTAAGAAGCACGTTTTTAATACTTTTTATTGACCATTTATTTTGGTACCAAGGATCGAACTCAGGACCTTGCGCTTGTGAGGCTGGCATGGTGCTACTGAGCTAAATCCCTAGCCCTGACCATTTATTTTTAATGCCTTTCATAATACTGTATTTACTTTAATGCTAATTAATTTCTAGTGCTACTTTAAACATACATTTCCCAGAAACCATATATCCCATGAGACCCTGATCTTGCAATCAAAATTTTCCTAAGTATACTATTTTCTTTTTTGGGGGGATACCGGGGATCGAACTTGGTATACTAGGATTTGTTTGTGTTTTGTGGTGCTAGAGATCAAACCCAGGGTCTGTAGCCATCCAGTCAAGTGCTTGAAGCTACATGTCCAGCCTTGTGATGGTTTTTAAGAACATAAACTAATGAGATTGGGAAGTGAAGAAAAAGTGAAAAAAACCTTTTTTAAAAAATGTAGTTAAATATACACAAGTAAAAAGCACCTGAATATTTTTTGTATCTATGCACTTTATTTTGATTTCATTACTGACATTTACATATTATTTTAAGACAATATACAGCTAACTGAAATAAAACATACAAGAAATTTATTAGCTATAATACCAATGCAAGAAATCTGAAATCAGTTTTTAATTTCATTTATCCTACTAGGAATACCACAACTTCTGGAATTGATACTGGCCTGTGAGTCAGGTGCTTTGTTTGCTCTTCCAACTTTAGTGTATGTGCTGCCAAAGCAAGCACTACCTTTCCAGAAAGTGTATCAGGCACTTCTAAGAATTCAGCAACTAGGTGTCTTACCAAAGCATAAAATGTTACTTAGAATTTAGGCCTTCTGAAAGAATCCAGTGTTTGTTTTTGTAAAATGGTATTGTAGTTCCCTTTCTTTCCACTGTTTTTTAATGAAAACATATCAAGAAATCATTGAATCAGAAAGCAGGTACATAGCATTTTTATATTACAAAGGAAATCAATGAGGACTTCAGGAAAGCAGCTAATGCTGTGGAAAAAAAATCTCAGATCCTGACATTTGGAGCAACATAATTTCTGTGTTATCTCTTTTTAAAAAAGGCCTTTCCCAGCTTTTCTCCAGACTTCTTTTACTCCTTTAATGCTTTCTTTTTTCACACATTTCCAGTATTCTTGTATACTCTGTTGTTGTGGTACCTGTGAATAAAAAGTAAGCATTAAGGGTCCTTCTCTTCATGGCCAAAATAATTACATATGTACATTATGTTACAGCTCATTTCCTTCCCACATTCCTCCAAAGAAAAGCTGAAGGTGTACTGTGGTGTAAAAGGGTTGTTAATGAAAATCGTATTTGTTAGTTTCCTGTACTTCTCCTATAGTTGCTATAGGAATTCAATTTGGTTTCTAAGTTATAAGTTGAAAAGCTCTGTCTTCAAAGACATGGACATCACATTCTTTATTACCCTGTCCTTCCTTCTGGCCTCCCCGCCTACCTGTTGTGTACGTTTTCTTTGAACCCTCATTTTCCCGGTGCAGATTTCTTTCATGAGAATGCTTCTAGCTGATTCAAATCTAAATACAACTCTGACTTTGATCTGCCCCACAGTTATTAGGGCAATTTGTGAATTTGAGCAAATAAGAATAGCTAACATTGGGCCGGGGATTTAGCTCAGTGGTTCTGTCGCCTGCCTTGCAAGCACAAGGTCCCAAGTTTGATTCCGGGAACCAAAAAAAAAAAAAGCTAACATTTACTTTATGTATCTCAGTCACTACACACTTAATTCTCATAATAATTCTTGTTCGTAGAGTCTATTAGTTTTCTCACTAGATAGATGAGGAATCTGAGCTCAAAAAATTAAAAATTAAGTAGCTTTGCAAGACTCAGCAGTTAATAAATGGTAGAGCAAGAATTTGAATCTAGGTGTATAAATACAGAGCCCAAAGTCAAATCCTAAGATTTTTAAGTAGTGATTTCTATTAGATCTGTATTTTTTTAAAAACCAAAATGTTGCATCTCATTTTATGTAAAACATATTTCAGTATTTCAATTATTAATCTCTTTATAAGCTATTAAAATTTCATTTAAGACTATTTGCTCAAATTCTAGGTTAATCTAGGTTTAATATCATTGTTAATAATATATAAACATGCAGTTTTTATAAAGCTCCAAACATGTTACCCATAAACCTCGATGCATCCTGTTTTTTAACACCCCAAGAAACTCTTCATGGCTAAGGCATTCATCACCATCCAAATCAAAGATCTTGAAGACGGTGTCCAAAATATTGTTTGAAAGCTCTTGTCCTGTAGCTACCTTCACTGCTCTCTTAAATTCTGCTATAAAATAAAACATAAACCACATCAGCCAGGTGAAATAGTCTAGGTGGAATTAATCTAAATTTTCATTAGTTGAGAAGTAACAAATTTTTTATTATTTGGGAAGTAAAACACAAAAATACTCATCACAAATGCATTCAAAGCATAAATTTGGTTCAGAAATGTAATGAAAGTAACTAAGATAAGTAAGCTGTTTTAATTTAAGCTTTAATCACATATTTAGGCATTTTCTTCTCCTTTTTAGAAGAACAAGAAAATAATAGCAAATAGAGTAACTGTTAAATAAGTTGTTGGTGTTGTAAATCTAGAATGACCACACTGAATTAAAAGGCCAATTATTTTACTGATAACTGGCTCTGTGGTTGGTACCATTCCGTTGAAGAACAGAGTGAAATGATTTTTATATCTTACCTAGTCTGACAGGTCGATGAGCTAAGCTAAACATTTGCATGGCAATAGCAAAGTCTTCCAAGTGGGTTGTAAAATGGCAAAATGACTTGAACTCATCCAAACTAATGCTCTAATAAAAATAAAGAGGTTTTATTACAATTTTATAAATACATTAATCTTATTAATATAACTGTAGTCTTCTATCATAAAGCATATGAACTTAGATCTAAGCAAGTCTACTAAAAAGTTCAAGACACAGACTAACAGAATTTAAGGTTTTAGAGCTCAACAGCAACCATGAGAGAAGAGCTGGCAGGGCCTCTGTGGATGGCTGTGGAGGTGGGACACCATGTATATGGGGTCTCGTGGAGTTGTACAGTGCAAACCCTGGGGTGGCCCTGGGCGATGGACTGAACAGTGTCTCATACTGACTCACATCTTAAAGCCCTAATCCCTAGTGTGACTTTATCTGGAGAAAGGGCCTATGTGGACGTAATGAAGGTGAAATGAAGTCACATGGTAGGGCCCTAATCTGATGAGACTAGTATCTCAAGAGGAAGAGCTGTCAGAGCCCGCTCATCGCCAGGCTCGCTTACTCTCCTGTATGTGCACAAGGAAAGGCCATACAGGACACACTGAGAAGGTGCCACACGCAAGCTGAAGAGGGGCCTCGCCAGATGATGGCCTGCTGGCACCCTGATTCTGGGCTCCAAAACAATGCGCTGTTGTTTGAGCTGACCAGTGTGTGGTACTTTGTTATGGCAGCTCAAGGAAAATAACACACTCTGTTAAATGCTCCCAATCTGCATAGCTTTATCAGTGGACACAGCACTGAATAGGAGCACTGGGCTTTGGAGATGGACCTATGTTGAAATTTCAGTTTTGCCATTTACTGTCTGTATGATCTTAGCATAAAGGGGTTATTTGACGAGGGTCTACTACACAGAATAATCAGGATTTGAACCTTGGTTCAATGGATTTCAAAACCTATATACTTAGAAACAAAAGCAAAGGGCCCTGGGTGTAGCTCAGTGGTATAGTGCTTGGCTAGCGCGTACAAAGCCCTGGGTTTCATCCCTAGCACTGCCAGAAAAAACCCCCAAACAAAACAAAAAGGTTAACGGACTAGTTTTTCCATTAAAAACCAAAAATAATATGAAAATTCTTAATTTGAAAGTAAATCCTTCCTTGCTTAAAAAAGTATCTTTCTAGGAACCTTCAGGATCATGCACTTTGTACATATGGGGTCTTATTCAGATTTTACTGCTTTTAGCTTTCATGAATTTTGAAATTTTTATTTTTTAAAAATTTTAATAAAAATTTTTGGGGCATATTGACGATTGAACACTTGGCACTGAGCTACAACTCCAGCTCTTTTTTATTTTGAGGCAGAGTTTCACTAAGAGCTTGTGATCCTCCTACCTCAGCCTCCCAGTGTGCTGGGGTTACAGGTATGTGCCACCATGCCTGGCTGAAAATTTTAATTAAATATCTGAAGAAGTAATATGTGTGTGTGATAAAAATTCAAAGAGAACAAAGGATAAATAATGAAAAACCTTCCCCTTTTGGTCCCCAGTTAATTTCCCAGAGGTAAAGCAATGATGGCCTGAGTATGCTTCTGGAAATACTGTACTCATATAAAAGCTTGTACACACACACACACACACACACACTCCCTGTCTTACAGTGAGAACACCTTATCCACCCATTTCTACACATGGCTTTTTTTTAAACAGCTTATTCATCAGTACAGTTGACTGAGGAGGTATTTCTCTGCATCAGACCTGAAAGCAGGCGCTGGGTGCAACCTGTCTGACATTTGCTCTTCTGACAGGTGAAGGATGGTATGTTCTCAGTGTTTGGATTTGTATATCTTTGTGCATGAAGTTCAGTACTTTTCACATGCTTATGAGTTATCTATGCTTTCTTTTCTTGGGTCTTCTTTATGTCCTTCCTCCAGATTTCTAATGGCTGTTAGGTGACCTCTTATTGCATGAGGCAATTCTTCAGGGCTGTCATGTTTCTGTATGTCTTTCCAACAGACGTGCCAACTGTCATTTTACTCCTGTCTTTCCAAGGATGACTGTGAAATGGGCAGTCTTGAATATGCAGTTCCTTCCTTGGGAGCGGGGGACTCTGCTTCCTGCCCAGTATGGTCAATGTTTTGCCTCCCTCTGCAGGAGAGGTTGGGAAGGCTCGCTTGCTGCCAGTTCTGAGACTTGGACTTGCTGAGATGAGACTCCTTTGCAGGGATGCTATGTGAGCTGCTGCATAGCAGCAGGCACTTGGGTCTCTCACCATCACTGTCGTAGGACTTGAAAGGCAAGGGGGAGCTGACCCAAATGCAAAGCTTATGCAGCTGTTAAGATAGGATAGTTTTTGTCTCTGACCCAGTAGTCTTATGTCTTCTACAGGCATCCACAAAACCATGCAGGCTAACTTGTAAATAGATAAATTCTCGGACACTTTGCAGTTATTACCATATTGATTTTCAAAATTTTAATATATATTAAATAGGGAAATATCTAGGACTGTTTATAGTTTTAGATTCCTATGGATTTTTTTTTTTTTTTTTTGGTGCCGGGGATCGAACTCGGATCCTTCCTCTTGCAAGGCAGGTGGTGGAACCACTGAGCTAAATCCCTAGCCCCTCCTATGGATTTTTAAAAATCCCAGGATAAATTAAGGAGACTGCTTGCTGTATTACATGTGAAACTAATATACCTTCTTCCTATTTTGTTAACTTTTTTTTTTGACTTTGATTAGAATTAGGGGGAGGATGAGGGAAGGCAACAAAATTATAATTTGTAAGTAGTAATTTACTCAATTTTCCTTAAAAGCTTCTGGATTTTGCTTAAAGAGATATTTATCTATGTTTGTATGTCCCATTCTAAGATGATACAATGTTTCCAAGCTTTTTCCTATATTAATTCAGTTTCATTTTTCCCTTTAAGATTTAATTTTGATCCATTTGAAATTTATTTTGGAGCAATGAATAAGATAGAGATTTGTGTTCATCTTTTCCCTCAGATGGCCAGTGAATTTTCCTACTGCCATTTGTTAATAATCCTTTTAACCAACTAATCTGAAATACTATAATGTTTGGTAATACATTTACTAAATTTTCAGAGTATTTGAATCTATTTTTGGACATCATATTCTGTTCAATTCATTGTCAGAAACTGCTTTAGTTACTAAGTTTGGTAACACACTTCAATATCTTGATACTGTCTTTATATTAACTTTTAATGGCTTGTCTAGTTCCCTTACAAGAATCCAGTGGTATTTTTGTTGTGACCCATTGGAGTTTTCCTGTTTCTGATTCCTGTATGTATGGAGGACTACACCTCTTTATTGCCATGCACTTAGGTGGAGTTACGTGATCACTCTGACCTACAGCCCATTGTTATAGGATGTGTCCAGGCCCAAATACTTCACTGCTGGACTGTGATTCCTTCCTTCCTTTTCTTGCCACGGCCTCTGAAGATGGTGTTCTTCCAAAGGATGGAGCTTCAAGGTGGCAGAGCCTTGGAGAGTCTGGTCCCTGAGCCTGTGTGGACAGGGCCTTCCACCAGCCCACAAGAGAGATGTAGCAGTATTGGAAAAGAAACTTTTATTGTGTTAGCCATGGGGATTTCAGGGTTAACCTGTAATTGTGGCAAACGTGGGGTGTTCTGACTACTATAATCATTACATTTATCAACCAGCTGAAGGGAGGAACAGCTATATTTATACTACCAAGACTGCCTATCAGTAATAGGGAATTCTCTGTAATTAGATAAGCTTTATAAATATCAAGGTTGTAAAATCTTTCTCCATATATTTTTTGTTGTTTATTTCTAATTTTATATATTTCTATTGCAATCACAAATACGATCTTCCATTATATTTTATCTCTCCCCTCACATTAGAAAGTTTAAAAAAAAAAGTTATATAAAAATACATATCCATTCCAAAATTTCTTTTGGAACAACACATAAAAGTATAAAGAAAATAAAAATCACTTGAAATCTCACTGCCATACGTTATCATTGTTAATGGTTCGGTGATCATCATTTCATACATTTCATAGAAACACATCCATGTACATATACACATCATGTTTTTATTAACTTGAAATCTATACATAGGACAGCTGCTTTTTCTATATTTGCATTGTAATATGACTTTATTGAATTCTTACTGTTTTCTAATAGTTTTTAAACTGGATACTCCTGGGTTCTGTAGGCATATAATCACATCATATGCAAACAAAGAGAAGTGTACCTCCTTTCAAATTACTGTAGTCGTTTTAGAAGTCTTGTTTATTTGCCTGGCTAAGGTTTCCAGAACAATATTCAATTGTAGTGGTGACAGTGGATTCTTGTCTTATTCCTGATACTAGTGGAACTGCAAATACACAGATCTTACACTGATTCTTCTTAGGCAACAGCTCATTTGCAGGAAAATAGTATATGGAAGATGTTTCCCCATTTTCATACTTCCATAATATTGAGTAGCACATTGTTCGTTAATTTAGATGTTACTTTAATTATATAAAGTGTCTTATTTCATCTTTATCACATGCATAAGAAAAGGGCATACTAACCTCTCCTGCTGACAACTTCTCTCTTACATTTTTCCAATAAATGTCTTTATTTTCGGTGTTAGTGAAAAAAAGTAGCCACTCTGCAAAGTCTTCTTTCCTCATGAAATTCAAACCTTTGGAAAACTGAATGAATTCCATTTCTTGAATTTCTGTTTGTAAATTTTCCATAAATCTAAATATTAAAATACAAAATTGACAAGAGTGACATTGCACCTTAATGTTGTAATGGGACTGCAAGGCACTTTCACTATTACCAGTGCCTACTCTGTGGCTGGTCTCTGGATATGGTGAACAAAGGGTTGTGGGGGAGAGAGAGAACGCAACAATGAAGTCCAATGTCTGCTCCAACCTGTGATTTATTATGCTCAGTTTGTCTGTGCAAATTTTACTTGGGAACCTACATTTTGATAAACACTTAAAAATATGTAAAATGTTGCTTTGATACATCCAGATTAAATACAATTCCACAGAAAACAATTTTTTCAATATAGAGATGTTATTTTTAAATTTTTGGGGGGGTACCTGGGATCAAACTTAGGATCTTGTGCTTGCAAGGTGGGCGGCGGCACCACTGAGCTAAATCCCCAACCCCTATAGAACATTATTAATAATCAGAAAAATTTAAAACTAGGGTGAGACTCTGCTTGTAGAATGTTAATCATAATTAATAGCTCTGAGTATATTTCAGATACCAAAGTTGATCAATAGCTTTGCATCAAAAGCTTAGGTCTGCCTAGTTATACTCTTTTGGACAATAGCACATATCTGTGTGACTCAACATTTCCTTCTTATAGAACCAACATGGCGTTTTGATCAAACTGTCATCAATAGCTTCCTGAGAAAGGTACAATTTGAAAGGGTATCAAATTAAACATTATTTTCTTTGAACAAGTACCCAGAAAGGTGGCACTTGATTTACTTACGACCTAAATCATGGGAAAAGTATTATGATTTCTGCAAGTTTTAATATGTTGCATACTCCTTTATTCACTCTTCCACATGGTCAAGGATCTGTGCTATCTCTCATATACATACATAAGTTGTATGTTATGTATGTATATGAGGCACAGTCCAGTGGGAGGAAAATTTCCAATGCTAAAAAATTACTTGCTTTAGGTTGTACACTGTCTGTATAACTCTTAAAAGTGCAAAGGAAGAGTTTGATCTTAGGTGCCTATGTGGTAAGTAACAAGTTTGTTACTTACAACATTTTCAAAATGTGTTAGATATATAGGTTTTTCAATGCCATGTTTCTTTCTGGGTCAAAACAGAATTTTATCTAAAGCTTTCAGTCTATGAGTTTCTTTTTGAATTAAATGTGTTTCTTGTATACAGCATATTGTTGGATCTTGTTTCTTGACCCATTCTGCCAGTGTATTTCTTTTGATTGGTGAATTGAGACCATTAACATTGATGGTTATAACTGATACATATTGACTTATCATTGTCATGACTTTTTCCTTTTGTTGCATTCTCCCCCTTTGCGTTTAATTTCTTGTTGTGTCCAATGGATTCATTTTGCTGGGCTTCCTGGGACTGTGATCCCCATTGTCTTTTCCTAGGATATTGTCTAAAATTTTTTGGAGTGCTGGTTTGGTTATCATGAAGTTCCTAAGGTGCTCTTTGTCATGAAAGTATCTTATTTCTCCATCAATTTTGAAACATGGTTTTGCAGGATACATCAATCTGGGTTGGAGGGTGTTTTCCTTTAGGGCTTGAAAAAATCACTCCAAGCTCTTCTTCCCTTGAGGGTTTGCATTGAGAAGTCTACAGTGATTCTGATGGGCTTTCCTTTGTATGTGATTTGTTTCTTTTCTCTAACTGCTTGTAGAATTTTGTTCTTCTGTTGGGTTTCTGGAATCTTAACAATTATATGCTTATGTGTAGATTTTTTTTGATCAAGGCTAGTTGGTGTCCTATATGCCTCATTTATCGGTATGTCAAGTTCTTTTCCTTTGCTTGGGAAGTTTTCTTGCCATCACTTCTGTGAATAGTTTTTTTATGTTGTCTGCACTCTCTCCTGTTTCTTCATTGACTCCAATCAGTCTTATGTTATTCTTCTTTGCATCGTCTAGCAGCTACTGGATTGACTTCTTGTGGTCCCTTACAATTTTAAAGCAATTTTTCTTTTCCTGGTCACTAACTGCAATTTTATCATCTATATCTGAAATTCTGTCCTCACATTGGCTCATTCTGCTGTGTAGACTTTCAATGGGTTTTTTTTTTTTTTTTTTGGTACTGGGGATCGAACTCAGGACCTTGTGCTTGCAAGGCAGGTGCCAGAACCACTGAGCTAAATCCCCGGCCCCTGGAGTTTTTAATCTGGAAATCTGTTTGCATCTGTTTTACGGATTCCATTTGTTTCCCACGTTGGGATTCCATCATGCTCCTCAGCTCCTCTATTTTTTTATCTGTGTCCTCTCTAGATTTATTAATCATGTCTTGCACTATGGGCACAATCTCTGCTGTTAGATTATCTGAGAAATTATTTCTGATTTCATTTTTCCCAGATCCTCTTTCGTTCCCAGTTCAGTGGGTCCAGGTGGTTGAGTATCAGGCTCTTCCATCTCATTTCCCTTTGGGGTTGCTGTAGGTGATCCGGAAGTCTGGTTCTGAGGCTTGTTTATGTGCCTTCTCATTTCATCCAGGGGTGGGTGTGCTGCTGGTGCCTGTGTGGCTCACCTCCTCTGTGTTGGGAGCAGTGGGACAGCAGTACAGAAGCCTCCTCCTCTGCCCTATCTCCAACTTTCAACAAAGGGCATCCTAAATGAGTGGCATTCTGTGCTATTAAACTGTATTTTAATTGGTGAAAATGTTGACTATAGTGACTTCTGGATGTTTACGACACAGTCCCCAGAAGGGACTACCCTTGGTGTTTGACATAGGGCCTGATGCCTACTAGCACATGGTGTGCACTCATTAAGTCTTTATTCAACTGCATTGAGCTGAACAAGGTGCCGGTCTCCTGCCTCGCACAGTCGTGTTTTCTGCCATTCTGTACTGTTTTGTGGTCTCTGTTCTGAGACTGCTGAGTGGAGTGGTACAGGGAGAGACACTCTTGTTTTGTGTGGAGTTATTCTCATTGGAAAGAAGATAAACAGGAGACATCTAATGTAAGTACTATTATTCTCATCTTACAGATAAAAAGATGTGCTCAGGGAAGTTAGATAAATTGGTTAAAATTAATGTTAGCTTAAAGCTGTACTGGAACATAGACATATTTGCATATTAATGCACTGCTTATGGAAGGTTTCACACTACAATAGTAGAGTAGTGTGGTTCTGACAAAGACCATGCTTACCATTCCGTCCTTCGCAGAAAAGGGTTGCCATACTTTGTGCTATGGAGTCGGAGACTGCATGGAGCAGAGCTGAGTTATCTCAGCTGTGACCGTCCTATAAGAGCTACCTTCTAGCCAAACCACTGACAGACTGCAATGCCTCAGTCCAGTCAAGATCAGCCAGTCCTGGCCCCCTCAGAGAATCATACCCACCTGACCCAAAGATGAAGACAGGACAGAGGTCCACTGTTGGGCTAATCTAGTTTTCATTAAGAACAAACTGGCATTAGGGGCAGTTCTCTTAGTTACAAACATTACGTTACTAACAAGAATTACTGCATTTTATAAGACAGACATTTACTTTCATAATAGGTTAGAATTTTTACAGCATAGTAACTTTAGTTTGTATTTTACAGGTTTAGTTCTCAGAGACAAATATATATCCACAAATAGTTTTTAGTTTTATTGTCTATTGTTCTAGGAAGTGACTATATTCTTTCTTTTGTATTTTTCCTCTTTTTTTTTTGAGACAGGGTCTCACTATATAGCCCAGGCTGGCCCTGAACTCACAGCAATCCTCCTGACTCGGACTCCCAAGAGCTGGGACTACAGGTATGTGTCACCATGCCCGGCTTCAATGCTTACCTCTGAAATTCCCCAAAGTAAATATAAGCATTCAAATTTACCTTCGGAATTCTTTATAATGAAGTTTTCTTTCTCCTCTTTTTCCAAAGAAACGCATCTGAAGGGTTGTGTCAATTTCAGATTCTTTCATTGTTTGACCCTATGAAAATTTCACATAATTTCAAAATTATTAAAAATTTCAAGTAATAATTCAGAAAGACAAAAATGGAACCTTGTAGACTCAAACTTTTGGGATAATATGCAGAAATTACTGTTGCGGGGGAACAAAAATGGTGGAAAAGATGGGGAGACAATCATTCTTTCTGTCTGTAACTTTACATAGCATTTTTCTGTAATCATTTTTGCTCAAGCAGGAGGGCTAGAAATACTCTGTGGATGTAAGCAGGAAACAAAATCTCTAGATATCTTTTAGTGAATAGCACTGAGAAAATTAATGTAGGAGTCTTTCACCTTTTGCTGAATGTTACAAATATTATAAACACTTGTTTTTCCTTTTTTTTGGTCCTGTTTTTTGAGGCAGGGCCGCACTCTGTAATTCAGGCTGACCTTGAACTCACTAGGTAGCCTGCTGGCCTCAACCTTGAGGGGATCCTCCTGTCTCAGCCTCCCAATTGCTGGGATTACAGATGTGTGCCACCACACCAGGCCAAACACTTGGTTTTCCTAAATACAAAACTAATAATGAGGGGCCAGGGATTTAGCTCAGTGGTTTTGCAGCCTGCTGTGCAAGTGCAAGGACCCGAGTTCAATCCCTGGTACCCCCCCAAAAAAAACCACCCCCAAAAAACTAATAATGAGAATTGCATTAAAGACAGTGAGTGAGGCAGATTTGTAGGTTCTTCCTTCTTCAATTTCTTAATAAACAACAAAAAGAAAAATAAAACCAGTAAAAATTATCATCCACAGCCAAATAACAGGATACACAAATTTAAGCCAAATATTTTGAAAAGGCTCAGTCTGAGAAAGAAACATTGGATTCAGGTGTAGGTTGGTCCATCATGTCTCCTAATCCTGCCCAACACCTACTTCTCAGAAACAGAAGGGAGATGTAGGATTATGACACTGAGGTTATCGGTTGCTTTATTTCATTAAAACATTCAATTTAGCAGTAAGTAGATGGAGAGGAAGACAGCCTTGAGAGAAGTCACAGAAGGCCCTGGGAGAAGCTCCTGCCTTACCTGAGGGGAGCTGAGCAGCCTGAGGAAGAGCTTCGAGGCTTACAACCTCCCTGGGCACTGTGCTAGGCTGAGGACACAACTCGAAGCCCACAGTGTTGGGTACACTGTGAGAAGTGGAGTGGGCTGAGCTCTAAGTCGTAGAATGGGGCCACAGAAAGGACAGAAGCGTGATCCTCCAGGGAGCGGCATCGGTCTATTTCTTGCTAGTGTCTGTTCAAGGCTGTGATTCCCTACCTTTTCCTCTAGGGGGCTCCCTTTCTCCCTTGTTTCTCTCCCACCGATCCACAGGAGGGTGGATCAAAATGCAACATGTCCCAACCAGGGGGAGAAAGATAAATTTTTTCCAGATAAGGTGGGAAGCATAACACGGGAAATCTCATTTGTGCAAAGAGAAGGTTTGAACAGAGCGTATAAGGAAAAGATACGGCATGAGAGCCCTACAGAGCCACTGCACCAAGAAACAGAAAAAAGAACAAACTAGGCAGAGACAGAGCCCAGTTTAGAACACAGAACCCAAGGAGCAAAGGGATCTTCCCCAGGAGTCTTTTCTTAAAACTGGGTGTTCTGTGGTAGTTGTCGGTACACCTGCACTTGTCAGTAATAATGCAAGATGTCTCACCCCTTGGCTCAGCTTCTTCCAGCGGTGATGAGGCTACAGAACAACCCCACAGTCAGCAACCCACAGGACAGACCCTCATCACAGACTCTCCACAGTGCCCTTTTATACGCACCTCAGTTTCCCCCATTTCCACCCTCTAACCTCTGCCAATTAATCAATTACTCGTATCTACAGTTCTGTCACTTCAAAAATGTTATAAAATGGAATCATTCAATACATAACTGTCCGTACTGATTATTTTCTGAGCATAGTTCTCTGGAGATTCATCTAGTTTGCTGTCATCTGTTTCTTTTTATTGCAGAGTGATACTTCATGGCATCGACTACCACAGTTCCACCATTCACCTGTTCTGGTTTGGGCCATTACAATAAAGCTGTTATGAACATTCACTTATGTTTGTATGAATACAGGTTTTCATTTCTCTGGGATAGACGCTCGGGAGCACAGCTACTGTTTTCCAAAGTGGCAGTATCATTTTATATGCCCACTAGAGATGGAGAAGTGACCTAGTTTCTCTGGCTCCCTGCAATCACTTGGTGTTGTCAGCAGTTTCAAGCTTTAGTCACTTGGGCAGTGTGTTGTCTCACAATGGTTTTAACTGTATTGCCCTAATCATGAATGATGTTGTACACTTTTCATTTTTTTGCTGGCTTTTCATATATACTTTTTTTGGAGACATGTCTATTCAAATCCTTTGCTAAGTTTTTAGTTGGGTTCTTTTTGTTGTTGAGAGCGAGAGTTCTGATACTAGAACTTTATTAGACATATGGCTTGTAAGTATCCTTCCCATTTTATAGGTTGTCTTTTCACTCTTTTGATAGTACCTTTTGATGAACAAAACTTTTAAATTCTAAGTCCAACATACCTATTTTTCTTCCATTGCTTGTGTTTTTATGATGGTATCTCCAAAATCCATTGCCAAATGCAGTATCGTGAAGATTTCTTCTTGTATTTTCTTCTAGGAATTCTATAGTTTTAGCTTTTATATATAGACCTTTGATCCATTTAAGTTTTTTATACTGATGTGAGTTGGAAATCCAATTTCATTCTTTTGCATATGAATGGATATCTGGTTGTACTAGCAATATCTGTTGAGGAGACTTTTTGGGAATTGTAAACAGTACTGTATTTTAAATTTTTGTGTCCAGGTGTTTATTGCTAGTATATACAAATGTGACTGACTTCGCTACATTAGTTTATATCCTGTGGTCTTCCTGAAGTTAATTATTAGTTCTTTTTTTTTTTTTGTAGATTTCTGGAGAGTTCCTACAGAGACAATGTCATCTGCAAGTAGGAAGTATTTAACTTCTTACTTTTCCAATCAGTAGGCCTCTTATTTCCTTGTTTTGCCTCATCACAGTGTCCAGAACTTTCAGCTTTATGTTGAATAAGGGTTCTAAGAGCAAGCATCTTTGTCTTGTTCCTGATCTTAGGAAATAAGCATTAAATTTTCAGTCGATTATCATTAAGTATGTTAGCCGTGTGTGCGTGTGTGTGTGTGTGTGTGTGTGTGTGTGTGTGTGGTGTACTGGGGATTAAAACCAGGACCTTCACACTGAGTTACAACTCTAGGCCTTTTAATTTTTAAATTTTTACTTTGAGACAGCCCAAGTTGAGCTTAAACTTATGTTCCTCCTGCCTTTAGGTTTTGTGTAGATTTTCTTTACAAAGTAATAAGCACTTGTGTGTGTGTGGTACTGAGGACTGAACCCAGGGCTGTGCAATATATTCCTTATATTCCAGCTCCCACTCCCTTTTAATAGTGAGACAGGGTCTCATTAAGTTGCCCAAGCTATGCTGGAACTTGAGATACTCCTGCCTCAGCATCCTGAGTAGCTGTGAGATGATAGGAGTGTGCCACCATGCCAGGTTCCATATTATCCTTTTGATGTTTGCAAGGTCTCTTATGATAGTTCCAGTTTCATTCCTGACATTGGCAGTTTGTGTATTCCCTGTTTTGTCAGTCTTGTCAGAGGTTTGTTAATTTTATTAAATTTTTCAAAGAACCTCTTATTTGCCTGATTTTTTTTCCTTCTGGTACTGGGGATTGATCTCAGGACCTTGTGGTTGGCAAGGCATGTGGGGTACCACTAAATCCCCAGCCCTTCACTGATTTTTTTTCTACTGCTTTTATTTCCAATTTCATTGATTTCTGATCTTATTACTTACTTGCTTTGGGTTTATTTTGCTTTTCTTTTTGTAGTTTGTTGAGATGGGAGATTATATTACTATCTGAGACATTTCTTTTTTTCTAATGTATGACTTCATAATACAAATTTTCTTCTCAGTAGTTCTGTCACTTTATAACAAATTTTGATGAGGTTCATTTTTATTTGTTAAATATATGTTTTGGTTTGCCTTGAGGTTTCTCTTTGATCCATGATTTTTTTTTGGTACCAGGGATCGAACTCAGGACCTTGGGCTTGCAACGCAGGCGCCGGAAGCACTGAGCTAAATCCCCGGCTGGATCCGTGATTTTTTAAAAGTGAGTTTAGGGCCGGGGATTTAGCTTAGTGGTTTCGCCACCTGCTGTGCAAGTGCAAGGACCCGAGTTCAATCCCCAGAACCAAAAATAAAAAATTTAAAAAAGCGAGTTTAGTTTCCAAATGTTTGGAGAGTTTCCTGTTGTCTCTTTCTAGATTGATTCCACTCTGGAGAGAAAACACATTTTATATAATTTCAATTCATTTAAATTTGATGAGATTAGCTTTGTGGTCCAGGACATGGTCTGTCTTGGTATATAGTCCACAGGCACTTGGAAAGAACAAGTGTTGATGGAAGGAGTGGTTTATAGGTGTTGGCTGGTGGTGGTGTTGATTCTATATCTTTGATGCTTTTCAGTCTAGGTGTTCTATCAACTGTTGAAAGAGGGTTGTCGAAATTTCCAACTGTAATTGTAGCTTTCTCTGCTTTATCAGCATTGACAGTGCATATTCTTAAGCTCTGTGGTTTGGCTGGACACATAGGATTTTCTATGTTGTTTTGGTGGGCTGATGCTTTTATCATTATGTATGACCCTTTCTGCCTTTGGCAAACTGTTTTGTTCAGAAGTCAACTTTAGGGGCTGGGGATTTAGCTCAGTGGTTCCACTGCCTGCCTCACAAGCGTAAGGTCCCGAGTTCGATCTCCGGTACCAAAAGAAAAAAAAAAAAGAAGTCAACTTTATCTGATATTAGCTAGTTGTTCCTAATTTTCTTTGATTAATGTTTGTATGATGCATCTTTTCATCCTTTTACTTTCAAGGTGCCTATGTCTTTATATTTGAAGTGACTTTACTGTAGCATATAGCTGTGTACTTAAATCCACTTTGCCAACCTATCTTTTAATTTAATAGTACAGTTA